ATGTATGGATATTATACGATGTGTAAATGTATATGTGAGCAATAAAGTATATAGAAGCACACACGGTACTTTTACCCCTTCTATCTTTGTACTTCTGATTGGCTATCACTTTATCAGCGTCGTCCATCTGCAATAACTTCGACCTGGATATCACTTTTACGTCAATGCTTTTAATGCTCGACATAGAATCGAATCTAGTTGCGAGAGGTATTACTTGTGAAGTGAATTTAATCTGGGGGGGGAAAAGGAGACAAAAAAAGAAGAAGAAGAAAAGAAAAGAAACGAAACGAAAAAAAAAAAAAAATTGTTTCCTCCTTTTTCGCAAAAGGGTCGTAAATTGTACTACATATTTCATGCAGTTACACTTTTTAGCAACATGTACACCGTCTGATGTACTTACTCAACTCGATTTCGCAATAAAACGAGAAGAATAAGTGCCAGAGGAAAAAAAAAAAATGAAGTCAAAATGACGAAGTATAAAATGAAAATAATAGAATAAAAAAAGTAAGTGCAGAAGAAATACAAAAAATTAATTGTTTAATATATAAAAATAAATAGATCTACGCACAAGTATGGTGGTGGTGATGGTGGTGATGGTGGTTGGTGGTTATCGAAATAATCTCCGGTCTGTTTAAAACAGAAAGTTCTATCTAAACAAAAAAAAAAAAATCATCATCATAAATGGCTTGACACGAATAATATCGAGGAGCCTTTTTCTTTTTATTATTTAAATATTTAACAGTAAATATAATTACGCCATCGGGAGTATAATAAAGATTAACAATGAAAAATCTTTAAAATAAAAGATCGTTATATATAACAATGTGAGAATTCAATATATCGTAGATTCATTTCTTCTTTCTTTCTTTCTTTCTTTTGTTGTCATAATTGTTACTGTTTTGTTGTCTCTGTATATCCTCCAATATATTATTTACATTACTCGTGGCTATGTGTCGAGATACCTTTTTACAAAAAAGTATCCAACTACTAACGGAATCGTTTTTGCCAGGACTTTGAGTTTTGCAAAACCGCTTACTGCTGTTGCTGCTCATAGATATTATCCTGAATGCTAATAGGCGCATATCGTGTGTGTATGTATGTGGTGTATATGTGTGTATATGTACGGTAGTAGTATTCATCGATTACTAGCTGCATTTATTTATTTCGTTATTTATTTGTGCCGATAATTAATAACAGTGGCTTTAGTGAAAAAAATTGAAAAAA